AGGCTCTTTAGTTCTTCTTTGCTTTCTGCCATTAGGGTGGTATCATCTGCATATCTGAGGTACTACCTCAGATAGTGGAGCAAATAAAAATTGTTTTTGTGTATAATCTAAATAAGGTAGGTTAATTTTATTTAGAAAGGCCTCTGTATCTTCATTCAATACATTCTCTGGTTTGCTATATAATTCTGAATAGAATTTAAAGAATTGACAATTTATATCCATTGAAGTTTTATATATTTTAACTCTTTCACCTGTAAGAATTGGAATCATTACCATATCTTTCTTTTGCTTTAAGCAATTAGCCAAAATCTTGCCGGGTCTTTCACCGTTCTCCCAATGTCTCTGTCATGAACATGTAGCATGAATTCTGTCTGCTGTTACGTTAGTTCATATTTCTTTCTGTATTTCTCTATACAGAGTAGTAGATGGGCATCTAACAATCTGAGCCGATAAATGTTTCAGCTGTTCTGTCAAATTGTTTCCCCTTTTATTTTTAATCTTATTTTTATATGATGCATAAGCAATAATTCGACCTTGGATATATGATTTATATGCTTCCCATTCAAAAATTCGAGCACCTGATGTTTCTGAGTTCAAATCAAAGTATTGTAAAATCTCTACCCACATTTGTTGTATGAATTCTTTATCATTCATTAAGGAGACATTGAAATACCAATTTCTCGATACCTTGACCAGTTTCTGAAACACACATTTCAAAATAATTGCTCTGTGGTCTGAAACATAACAAACATCAATGTTACATTCTTGAATTTGATGATATAAAGTCAGTGATGTTAAAAATAATCAAGCCTAAAAAAATTCTGGTGCACATTTGAATAAAATGTGTATTCTCTTTTAGTTAGATACATCAAATGCCAGAGGTCTATTAAATTCAATTCTCCATATAAGTCTTGTTTCCCTCACTAATGATTGGGTTTTTTTTTTTGTACCAGTGTAATTCTATCAAGTTCAGGATCCAATATTTCGTTAAAATCTCCTCCTATTATCACTTTATCATAAATACACTCATTGAAATGTTGAAAACATTCATAAAACATAATAGGAGAATCTAAATTAGATCCATAAACATTAACCATAGCTATTACAGTCCCTTCTATTTTAGCGCATAAAATTAAATACCACTCATTTACATCAGTAATACAGATAGTCCTCGCTTAACGACCACAATAGGGACCAGAAAATTCATTGTTAAACAGTGCGGTCATTAAGTGAAGCATCATGTGAGCACACCCAATTTTACGACCTTTTTTGCAGCAGTCATTAAGCGAATCACTGTAGTCATTAAGTGAATCACACAGTTCCCCATTGATTTTGCTTGCTGGCTGGGAAGGTCGCAAATGGCGATCACGTGGCCCCAGGATGCTGCAACTGTTGTTAGTGCAAGCTGGTTGCCAAGTGCCTGGATTGCGATCACGTGACTGTGGAGGTGCTGCAACAGTCATAAGTACGAGGACTGGTCATCAGTACTTTTTCCAGTGCTGTCGTAACTTTGGATGGTCGCTAAATGAATGGCCATTAAGTGAGGGCTACCTGTAACCTGTTGTACATCAATTAAAAATCCTTTTTGAACCAAAATGGCCATGCCTTTAACTTTCGTTGAAGTATCTGTGAGGTAAATCTGTCCCACCCAAACCTTCATTAATAAAGATTTATACTATTCCATTAAATTAGTCTCCTATAAAAAAGTGATGTCTACCCTTAACGATTATAAATAGGCTAAGATTACATTTCGTTTCTTAGATTCTCCCTTTTAGATTAAAACTAATTTCATCTATTAATTTTATTTAGGCCCACTTATCCATGGTCTCCCAGTACCAATTCATTTTATGACCTGTACCTTTTAACCAGTATTTAGTAATGAACTTTTCTGTGTTTAAATGTTTATCATATTTTCTAGTATTGCTTACAGACGTAGAACCTCCATAAAAACTCAAATTAGCACTTAAATACCATTCAATTACATATATAGAGAATCTATTTCTCATGTAGTAAATATACTTAAAAAAAAAAGTGATTATGTGCACAAAAATAACACCTAAACCCTAAACAGATAAAGAAAATAAAGAAATACATGGCTTCCCAATGAGACAGCACTATGGTTTATCTCTCTTGTTATAGATGAAATATATAGAACAGTTTCAAACTCATTACTCAGGCAAATACGTTGTATCTAGAGATAAACACTAAAGTTGGCAATATGCCCAGACTCTTTATCTTAAAGTTAACCATAACAAAAAGGAGTACAGAAAAAGGGGAAAAAATTAAAAAGTCGAGCCTTTTAATGTGAGGCTTTTGCAAGGCATCCCTAGGCAAATTCAAATTTCTCCCACAATAGATTTCATGGAATGGGATACAGTCAAGCTTGTCCATCAGCAGATTTCAAGGATAAAATAAAAGCCTCTGCATACAAAGGATTATCAGATCTGTGACTCTGGTCTTGGTAACTAATGCAGAATGTAGCTGGAAAGCGCATGTAATATGAAGTTGTGCTGATCTTGTAAAACTTCTTGCTTTTATAAAAAGCCTTCCCTTTTCAGAGACTTCTTTAGTAAAATAAGGATCAGTTGATATCTTATTTTTGCTAGAACCCCCCTTCAACAGAGACTTTATTGATTCCTGGCGAAACATACCTAAAATCTCATCTCTTGTAGTAACACAAAGGAATTGCACAATAATGATATTGGAACTAGTTTCAGTCTTCCATCTCATTAAAGAAATTTTTATGGCGTCCAGTCTCAACTGGAAAGTCCATTCTCAAAGAGAGGAGCTTTCTGAAAAAATCCTCCATAAATTCAGCCTGGTTTGATTGACTTAGAGGGTTTACAATGCCAGTCATATGTAAATTTTTCCTGCACAACTGTGACTCTAAGTAAGAAATTTGTTTATCCAAAATATTGTAACTAGTTTGAGTAATAGCCCCGTGGACAGCGAACCAATCTTCATAGCAAGCCAATTTGTCTTGCATCTGCTTTATATAATTTTTAAGCTCTGCCAAATCATGTTGAATCGGCTTCAGAACTTGTACCTGATCCAGGATCGCTTTTAGCAAATTAGTGGAAAAATCCTCCTCTGCCATTTTTCCTGGCTCAGCAGATAGCAACGCAATTGGAATTAAGATGGCTATTGATTGTTTGAGTCTAATTGCCATCCCAATAGCTCATTAAAAACAAGATATGTAATGAAAAGTTTTATTTACCCAGTGAGCTAAGTCTTTGTCCACAGAGTCTGATAATTCAGAAGTTTGAAAACACTTTAGTCAGGAGACAGTTGAGAGATGTGCACTCAGAGCGCCATCCCAAAGTAGAGTGGATCTATTAGAGCATCTCTGACAGATGGCCTCTGAAGACCTCCAGCAAAGGGGAACTTCCCACATCATGAGGCAGTTACATGGTAGCCTGTTCCACTGCCTGACAGCTTGTACATGAGGAAGCCCCTCCTAATGTCTACCCTGAAGCTTCTTACTTATACAGGTAATCCTCAAGTTACAACCACTCGTTCAGCAACTGTTCAAAGTCATGACAGCGCTGAACAAGGGGGACTTACAACCAGTCCACAAAATTGAGGCTGTTGCAGTGAGCCAGTCATTTGATTGAGATTTCTGACATTCCCTGCCAGCTTCCCACAAGCAAAGTCAATGGGGAAGCTGCCAGGAAGTTGTACGTTGCTCCCAATCCCACTGCTTTTTCACCTGCCTGCCTGCATTCCCTAGTGCCTACTTGTGGCACCCCACACACACCCGTGCACCTGCTGGCCTGCTTGCCTGGGACTCCCGCCTCTTCCCATTTAACAACCTGTGTGGTCCTGGGGTTACATCAGCAACCAGGACTACGGGATTTCTGTTGCTAAGCGATGTGGTCACGTGACATCACTCTTTATAATCATATCACTTAGCGATGGAAATTCCGGTCCCAATTGCCTTCGTAACCTGAGAACTACCTGTAGTTTTAACTCATCAGTTCTGGGACAACAAAGAATAAGTTTGCTTGTTCTTCTGTGTGACAGTCCTGTGAAGACTGCTGTGTTTTCTATAGGCTAAGCATTCCAAAATCATTTTGTATCCATACTCTTCACATCTTGTAGACTTTCTCTGAACTTCCTCTAATTTGTCGCTGTTCTTTTTGAATGGTGGTGTCCAGAACTGGGCACAATACTGCAAATGGGGTCTGATCACTGCAGAGTAGAGTGGATTCTGGATTCTGTGGTCCAATTTCTGCATCCCAGTATAACATTTGCCTTTTTAGTATCTGCATCTCACTGGTGGCTTGTTTTTAACTTGTGATCAGCAAGGACACCCAGATCCTTTCACATATACTACTATTGTTAATCCATGTAACTGACTATCATCTAGGCTATATTTTATCATTTTATTCAGCAGCCTTCTCCCTTTGTTCCATCTTCTATTTCAACCAGGAATTTGCCATCTGGCCTGGGGTGGGGAGGGAGGTCATCAGATATGGGGTTGGCTAGCCCCCTCGCGGCCTGGTGTTGCTTCCATCGGCCTCTTGGATTTTTCCTTTTCCTTTTATTCTTTGTAAAT